ATGGGTTCAAATTGCTTTATTTTACAGGTAAGGATTTACAGATTGTGTTGTAAAGAGCTTTGAGTATCTTGAGTAGATAGAAAGGCTACAAGTACAGTCCATTTACCATTTAAAGGTTTTGGACTCATTTCAGTGGTTTTTTAGTGTTTATATGTATGAGTGCGTGCTTTGCAAGTTTATTTAACTACTGGTAATACTGTACACTCAAAGCAGAGCTGATTATTATTTTTAATCATCTTAAGCAAATGTTGAATGAGTACACTGTAGCAGAAGTTTTGTTGACAAAATGTCAACAGAAATCCTTGTCACACTGTTACGAAACACAAACGTTGTTAATATTTTCAGTGAGTGAGGTCACAATAGGGAAATCAGAAAATGGGATTTAGAGCTGCAGATAAGACCCGAGCAGACAGAGACTAGTTTAACAGAATTTGAGCACTGTTGCATAAACTTGTTGCCCTTCTGATGCATTTAGCGTCCTTGATGTGATTTAAATTGATTTATGGTAACGTTTTTTCTTCTGAGGTTCTGTAAGAGTAAGGAACAGTCCAACATCTTTTTAGTTTTACCATCATTTTGGGGTTTGGAGCGAAAAAAAGTTCTTAAAAGAAAATGCTAAAAAGAAATTAAAGGTTGTTTTGTTAGGCTTAGTGGCACCATATTGGTGCATCTCTTTTGCACATTCAGCAGCACATGTGTCCTGGAGCTGCAGTCTGTGTTTGTGATGGTAACAGATGTGCCCCAAACTATCCAGCTACGTCTCTTCAACCTGCTTTCAGCTGTGGGTTAGTGGGATGCATTGTTTTGTGATCATCAGTATTGCACGTATGAGCCTAAATAGCCATTTGTTATACCCAAACCATACAAAGACTGTACTTCAGGTGATTTGGCGTGGTTAATAACAGTAGCTTATTGAAGCACATACGTTCAAATAATTACTGTGGGGTAAAAAAATGAAATGAACAGTTCAGTATTGATCATTCTTGGTCCGTAATTATGCACCCCTACAAGTGACAACTCAGCCTACCCAGATATAATCTCTCAGTTGAACATGCCCATCAGAGCAGCTGCTTTTTGGTCTTTCTTACTGAACAGATGTCATCAGTTAGTCTGATGATATGGCACCATGCAATGTGTTGGGCTGTTAAAACGCACGGTGCCATGAAGATTAGGGAGGCTGTAATGATAAGTTAGGGCAGCATCTCAGAGCTATTTTCATGGGAGCCCCTCTGTTTAAACCGATGACAAATCTGACCCAAAAGGTTGTGGTTGAAAAGCCGTTTTTAATGTCTCTCGTGTGTTGTTGGTGCTCTTGACTGAGCTAGCTGCATTAGCATTGTTCACTGACGTCTCAGCGGGAAAGTGCTCAGATCTCACTTCCACCATATTTAATCAAGGCTTGAAAACTTATGTCTATCGCTCCTTCCTTGTGATAATTAATGTCTTTATGAATTTCATGAAGCGTTGCATGCAGTGTAACGTTGGCCAACATGTTTATGTTTGTTTTCACCTGATTGAGTTATGGTGGACATGTTCGATCGGGGCGTTTGGCCTGTGGGAGGGAGACGCTTGACTCGACTTACTCTCGGTGTGCTCCTGCAAGATAATGGTGCAAAACCACTCTACAGATTTAATCAGATGTTGATGTGACTGTTTTCCATTTCCAACCTCAATCAATCAACTTTGAAATGTTGACTCGAGTCGTCAAGTGGTTTATGGTATTTTGTATTAAATCACAATGTGATGTCGTTTGTTCTAGATCTTTGACTATAAAATTGACTTTCAATTGAAATCTGCTAATCTTTACAACCCCTCTGGCTTTGACAGCACAATAAAGCTATTTGAATAATACTGTATTATAACGTACTATACATCCATCTCTAAAGGTGACTTCAGTGTGTTTATTATAGTTTAAACTTGCATTTTTTTGTCTACATTCCACTGTTTAAAACAGGTAAAACTTTTCCTATGTTCTTCGTCAGCAGCCTGGTCACTTTATGACAATCTTTTAAGAATCTAATGATGCTGGGTCTTTGAACTAATGCAGGTTTATTGCATTTACTCCTACATTTGGAAAGGTTGATGTCCTCTTTAGTGTAATGATGTGTTCCTTTGAAACAAACAAGATGCTATTGTATTGAGGTAGTGTGCGACGTTAGGCTATGATTATGCTTCAATAAGCAAAGGATAGTAGATGGTATATTCTGCTTTCCTAAAGAATTTCTATGACCAATACGTTAATGTTGCCGAGTCCGTTTACTTTTGTAAGGGTACGCTGCTGTGTGCTGCTGCCACGGCTGCAGAGCTGAGCACACTGATGTAGTAGGTGGCAGCAGAGTGGAACGTAGTTTTATGGATCACTTCCTGCTGATGTCACAATCTGTTTTTTCTCTTTTTGCAGCCCATTAGTTTGTTGTGGTTGTGCATGTGTTTTGTTTTTATCTCTTGTTGTAATGTAAAGCTGCATTCTTTGAGCTGAACAATGTTTTTTTATGTGCATTCAATTGCCAACGCAGAGTTAATATTTGTTTCAAACCATAGATTTATCAAAACGAGTGTCTATTTATAAAGCACCCACATACCTATCTGAAACTGAAATATCTTCCATGACATTACAATTTGCTGTTTTGATGATGCAGTAGTGTGCTTTTAGTATTATAGGCTGCATACATTTTTGTATTTAGACAGTGATAACACTTGAGGCTGCGGTGCATGTGGCTTGTGAATAATGGAGAATCCTCAATTGTCTGCTAAAGATGACAAACAGAAAGCCCTTTTTCCATAGCCCCTCTTCAGCACGGCTCGGCTCGGTACGGTTCCAAGGCTTTTTCCACTACCAATTATTCGTGGAACCAGCCCTCTTTTCAGTCCCTTCTTCTCTGGAGTACTAAGCAAGCTGAGCTGGCACCTAAACGTGACGTCAGAACACTGTCTGGCTCTGATTGGTCAAGGGGCAGAGTCACTAGTTCTTTGAGAAACTTTTCAAAACAACCCGATCCGCCGTTTGCAATTACTCGAACTTGGAGCAGCGGCAGGACTTATTTTTAAGATTTTTAAAACAATAATGACAACACCGTGGTCTAATGCTGAAGTGCAGGCCTTTTTTGTGTTAGGTGACCGACAACACAATTCAGAGCGAGATAGTCACCGCGGAGGATCATACGAGCTGCCGACACGAAGAAGCACGCGAGGCCGAACCCCAGCCTCGCGTGCTCCCGGATCCCGAGCCACTGAGCCCCAGTAGACGGGGGCGGACTGGGACTGGTCTGGGACGGAGGGTGGAAAACGATTTTTTTAAAAACATTTTTTGTACAAAAAATAATGTATATAATATATATATATATTTTTTTTTTATTAGTGAAGATTAAAAAAAAATAAATAAATGGTGCCGGCTTTATCATGAAATCCTGTTTTCACTTTAATGACTTTAATGTGTTAAATAACCTGTTAATTAAATTTAACTTGGCTGAAAAATCATAAAAAGACACAAAATTCTTGGATCTCTCAGGAATATTTCCCTCAAACATGTTTAAAGATGAGCTGCAGCCTTTAGTTCAAATTTATTACAGATGTACAAATCACAAAACAAGAATTATACTTTAAATCAAAAATTAATCTGTATACAAGAAACAAAATATATCTAAATTGAACAATAAAAGTAGACACAATGAATGCAAATACATCAAATGATGAAGAAAATGTATAAATATTTAAATATAGTTTTTGTAGACTGGTTCATCAGAGATTTAATGGTGAATGGGTGAACAAATGGAAGGGTGTGAGTGAAGTGTGATTGGAGCATGGGAAACACTGTGAGATGAGGGTTATTTAAAGCTGCAGAATTCCTGAGTGATGAGAGGAGAGATAAGGAGAGGAGGCCATAAAAAGGGGGGGGGGGGGGGGACAAACGTTTTGTCTTTTGAAGGATGAAGGCTGACCTTTCCATTAGTTAAATAAACTTCAACCCGTCTTTATATTTTCCTCCCGTTTCCCCTTTAAGACGTGTCACAGGTAAACCTCAGAGCATCTGATGCTCCTGTGCAAGAGGAGAGCGCCTGGGGATAACCCGGCCTGCCATTTCTTAGCTCGCTTTTGGCAGAAAGAGTTCTCTGCAGAACTGAATTATTCATGGGACTTCAGAAGAGCGCAGTGAAAATCCCCACCCCCCCATACACTTGCACACAAAAGCCGATAGGCCACATTCTCACACGCACGCCATGCATCATCACCATAACACCCCAATCGTCAAAAAAACAAAAATCATAGCACATTTTTATTGCTACTTTAGGTTATTCAGGCAGATTTAAATATTTTTGTTGTATCAGAGGAGGACTTGACTGGTTGAATAATTAAATAGACCGCACCAGATTCGTTAATGTGTTCCGACGACAATGCCTGTGTGGAAGGGGATCTTGCTTACTGCTGAGTGCTCTGTGCTCATGCTTTTTTTTTTTTTAAAGAAAAATGCAGAAATAAGTTACTTGGCTGGACATAAGCAAGGTGCTAGCAGAGCAGGATCGGGTTCGGACAACTGCAGAGGGATCGAGAGGAAGGTGCTTCATTTTATATGGGGAACGTTTAGTGATCATGAAGGGAGTGGTTGATGTGAGGGGTGCAGAGAAAAGGATGGATTGCAGTCGTTGGGGGAGGGGGGGGGCAAGCTAACTGTTTAGTGAGTGAGCACACGTGTGAAAGAGACTGAGGCGAAAAAAATGGAAGAGATCAATGATGGCATCAGAAGACTGCAGTCTGTTGTGGGTGTGACCGTGGTAATGTCAAGGTTTGTTTTCCCTGGAGGGGCTGTGGTTTGTCACACGTCTATCTGTCCGTGTCCACAATCTGTTTCAGATCAAATAAAGACGACGCACTTATTACATAAAAGACATTAAAACGTGCAGGGGAGGTGACAGGTTTTGCATCTATTTAATACAAACCATTTTGTTTAAAGACTTACACAAGTCATTTTTGAATATTGCTTTTATAATCGTCTTGCCTTCCAGGACCGTAAGCTGTCAAAAGTTGAACGACAGCGCTTCAAAGAGGAGGCGGAGATGTTAAAAGGTCTTCAGCATCCCAACATCGTTCGTTTTTACGACTTCTGGGAGTCTCCTCTGAAGGGAAAGAAGTGCATCGTTTTGGTAACAGAACTCATGACTTCAGGAACTCTAAAAACGTGAGTATTCATGAAGACAGGACTGTTGTAGATAAAATGTGACTGGTCAGATTTACATTTATCTGTTTATTTTATTTTGTGCCGTTTTACCGTCATTAACTTAAACTTACATTTGTTTCCTTCAGTTATCTGAAGCGTTTAAAGATAATGAAACCCAAAGTGCTGAGAAGTTGGTGCAGACAGATCCTGAAAGGCCTTCACTTTCTTCACACCAGGACGCCTCCCATCATCCACAGAGACCTCAAGTGCGACAACATTTTCATAACTGGACCTACAGGGTCAGTCAAGATAGGGGATTTAGGACTGGCAACGCTTAAGGCAGCTTCCTTTGCAAAGAGCGTCATAGGTATCAGACTTAACTCTGTGATTTAGTACAAGTCGTAGATTGATGATCCAGTCAGATAACGAGTCCTCCTCTCTCTGTCTGCAGGTACCCCGGAGTTCATGGCTCCAGAGATGTATGAGGAGCACTATGACGAGGCCGTGGATGTTTATGCCTTCGGCATGTGTATGCTAGAGATGGCCACCTCAGAGTACCCGTACTCCGAGTGTCAGAATGCTGCTCAGATTTACCGCAAAGTTACTAGTGTGAGTCAAGCTGCTGTAGAATTTATATTCATTTCTGAGGCACCTGGGAACACACTACAAACTGTTTTCTGATTGGACGGTACCTGGATAGACGTTCTTATTTGATGAATGATATTGATTTTCTCCTCTTGAGACTTGTCAGAGTTGAAAGCTAAAAGATGATTGTTTTGCATGCTATTAACACAGAGAGGCTCTCAGCTCCAGTTGTCATGGTTGAGAAGCATGATGGCCGTCTCTAGATATTGTTTTCCCACGTACCACTGCAGGATATTAATAGGAGATTAGTCTGAAACAAATACAATATCATTTTGCTTTGCACTTCCTAAATGAAAATGGCAATCGGCCAAATAACACAGAGGAAGGGTAATCTAGATGACGTGCATATGTCTGGGTTGCCTGAAAATGAAAGCAGTGGGTGACACCAGTGCCTTGCCGAAAATTAGATTATCCATTAGAAATACTAAAAGCAACTGCACAAAAATGGCTGCAGGATGCAGCACGTTTTTATCTAAGCAACTGCATTTGATCAGATACAGTTCTTTTTATTTAAAACAACTTTCTGTGCATGTTTTGTTAGGATTTTGTTATGATCTCAATCAGTCAACAGGATGTCTGGAGATATTTAAAAATTGTATCTAAAAGGAAAACTAAGTCTGCAAACCTTTTCTTTGTTTTCCCTTTGCCCTTCATTTTGTATTTTTCATCAAAACTGTACCCCGTCATTATGTGTTCACAATGTTTTGTTTATATCCCGCTCCCCTCAGGGGGTGAAGCCCGCCAGCTACAACAAAGTCATGGATCCTGAAATCAAGGAGATAATTGGCGAGTGCATATGCCAAAAGAAAGAGAGCCGGTGAGTGACTGTCCCTCTATCGTGTCCAAGATGGCCCACAAAATGCCCCCTCAGATCTTTCTATCCCGTGCTCTGCTTTAATCCTGTGTTATTAAAGATATCGTGAACACATTCTTGTTTTATGTAGCAAGTTTCTTTACCGGGGGAGTTCAGTAAACCAGATTTACTTGACTGGTTTTGATTGAAGCATGTTTCAGCTCGGGTACAATTCACACTGCTAGTGTTTTCATTCAACTAATAGGTGAGGTTAGATTAAGATATTCCTTGTGTTTAAACAGATTTGTTTTTATTGTAGATTTTTGACTTTATGAAGCGGTAGCATTGTGTTAGTCTGTGTGGACCACCTTTGTTTCTGAATCTGAGCTCTGTTGTTCCTTCTCCAAGGTATACCATCAAGGACCTGTTGAACCATGCTTTCTTTGCTGAGGACACAGGTGTGAGGGTTGAACTTGCAGAGGAGGACGATGGGAAAAAGACCTCCATAGCTCTTAAACTCTGGGTGGAGGACCACAAGAAGTTAAAAGGGAAATACAAGGAAAGTGGTGCCATTGAGTTCATGTTCGACTTGGAGAAGGAGGTCCCCGAGGTTGTGGTGCAAGAAATGGTGAGTGAATAATTTAGGTTCTACAAGCCTTGGAACAAATACTTGGTCAGAAAAAAACAGTAGGAGATATGTGGATTTAGAATCCAGAGACTGAATTTACTTGTGTTTTCCCTGACCAGACGACACCCAGTATGTGTGCAAAGTTGAAATATTTCTAAAATCTTTGAGTATTTTTGTCAAACATTCTTTCACATTGCTCTTTATCTTATATGACACGATGCAAGGTATGTACTCAAATGCAGATTGAGGTGATAACTTGCACTACTCTTCGAGGAAAACGGAGATTGTGATTTTTTGGCTTCATGTAATTTGCTTTTGTTTACATAGTTTTCATTGTTGTATTTTATCTAATGGGTCATTCACAGAGCATGAACCTCATGCAATGAAGAGGTTTTTTTTTTGTGTTTAGGAGCAATGACACTTTCTCAACCCCTTATCTCTCATCTAACATTTGTTCACACAATACGTTAGATAATGAGTAGTTGTAATAATACATTTGAGGTAATTTCACATGGCGAATATAAACATTGACAAACAAGACTTTGTTCCTTTTTTGTAACACGTTCATGTAATAAAACAATGGTTACCTGTATTTCCTTCTATTTCTATTTTAAACAGTGTCTTCCTTTGTATTGTTGTCCTCTCACACACATCCTCCTTTTTGTTTGCTCTCTTCCCCTGAATTATCTGACCTCTTTTTGCCTTAATCACGTTGGACTTGGAGACTGTATGCCTAGCATGCTTCCATGTCACAACAAAACTTAACCAAACTTGAGAGGGGGATGAGTCTCCTTTTCCTGGCTTCTTTGCCTTTGTGAAAATGATGTAGAATAATTTTGCATAGAAAATGCCATGTAATTGTATTATAATCAGTCTTCATTTTCATTTTGCTGTTATAAAAATCCAGCCAGCTTTGTTTTGAACAATACAACCATCTGATGACAAAAGCTCTAACCCCTTTAAATAGATTTTCTTTGTGGTCTGTTTCTCCCTCCACTTCTTCCTGTCTTCCTCCCACACTCTTGTTTTTAATCCACCCTCTTATCTCACATGCTCGCTGCTAAAAATACCCTGAAAATCATGCTTTTTCCCCTTTTTTTATTTTTTTCAGGTGCAGTCTGGCTTCTTCCATGAAAGCGATGCGAAGACTGTTGGGAAATCGATCAGAGACCGCGTGGCACTGATCAAATGGAGACGAGGGAGAATGGCTTCTATTGTGGCTCCGGTGGATCAGAGTGAAGTGGGACACAGGATCGTCGCGGCACCGTCAGAGGGCGTCTCTGCTGGGCTGCCACAAGTGGGACAGCCTCTCGTGCTCGAACCAGAGGAGCCAGAGGCAGATCAGCACAGCAAGCTGCATACGTTGCCAACTAGTACCACCTCAGTGACATGTAAGAGATTTTATTCTTTGCCCACCCAGAGACAAAATCTAAATTTTTCACTTTTTATGAGTGTTCATGTCTTTGCAGCAGACGGCACACTTGACAGTGGTATGGGCTCTACTGTGTACTCGGACTCCCACAGCAGCCAGCAGAGTGTCCTCTACCAGTCCCTGTTGGAGCCTGTTACTATGGCAACACATCAGGTCTGTATCAGGAGCTTACACGTCCATGTGGACAATGTTCGCTCACATTTATTAAACTTTACACATCCTGCAGACCACTCATCACTCATGTGACCTCTGACCTGAACACAGATGCTGTATTCCAGCACTCGGATGAGTTGACAGATTTTTAGACGTGTGCATTCTTCAATATCATGTTCAATAAAAGCATACGGTTTATTTTTTGTAGACTTCATGTTCTTTTGTTGTCTTTGCTCTGTTCACATTTGTAACATGTTTTGCTTTTGGGTTATTCCTTCATCAGTGCCAGAGCGGTAGTCCTTTTCTGACAGACCGTTCTCATTCCTGTGAAAATGATGAAGTGTGGCGGGCGCCGCTCAGTCCTGAGCTCAGGACTCGATTGGGAAGTGCAGGACGCAGGGGAAGTGCCCCAGTTATTGACACTCAAAGGGCAAACCAAATCAACCAACTCCATGCTTTCATTCAGTCTCGGAGATCGATCAGTCCCACCGTCATGGTACCAGAGAACCACGTGGAACTCAGTCCTAGGAAAACCTGTCCTCAGCCTTCCTCAGAAGCTGAGGACAGACTTCTCTCCCCAAGTGTCCTGCCGATGCTGCTGATCTCCCCAATTTCTTCACCCTCTGTTTTCCGCCGCCTTAGTGATGCCAGTTTTACATCACCGTTGGAGGCCACAAGTGAGAATTTAACTATTCCTAATCCAAGCGCACGCAGGCACTCTGACCTTAGTAGTCTATTGAGTCTAACTTCTAATCAAAAACATCTTTCTGGATTGCATAGAAACCCCACATGCCAGGCCTGCCTCTCTTTGCTTCTGTCAAGGTCACAAGATTGCATCCACCGCTCCTCTGTCATCTCACCAACATATCTCTGTCCATGTGACTCACGACACCACCCTTTATCATGTGGAAAAATGACAACTTCTGCTTATGGACAATCAAAAGGTTCAAGTGATTATTCAGATTTATCAGTGCTACAGCAGTCCCTGTTTAATATAATCAGCCGCAGACCAGTCCCTTGTCACACCACTCCCACCCAAACCTCCTCAGCAGCTCCGAGGCCGTCAGGCAGGGATGGAGACTGTGGTCGAAAGAGCAAGCCCCAGTCCCCAGAACCTCTCCAGGAGTGTGAGGACAGAAACCGTTCCAGAGAGCAGAAAGCCACCACTGCTGCAGGAGTGGTAGGTTACAATAGCAAACATTGCTTTAGCTTCCTGTAATGAAGCCAACACCTGCTTTTCAGATTTCTCCCAGCCTTTAGGAAGCACATCTTTCTCCTGCATGACGCTGGACCAAACAACTCCTGTCCATTCTTACATGTGCTTCCTTCATAGGCTTTGAGTACTGACCATCTTATAATCATAGGCTTGCTGCTGTCGGGGAAGAATGGTGCAACCTCTAACAGACTACATTTCCCTTCTGATTAACCTTAAAAACCTTTTTGAACTGACCTAGATTTTAACATTTTCCTTCCTGATTTACTGGAGCAGCGCAAAATCTGTCTTTCTCCTTGGCTTGCCTTGGTTAGATGACCTCTAATTTAAGGAGATGGAGCAATTGTCCATTTCCATCCTCCATCTCTCCTATTTCCTCTATGTGCCCTCATTTTAGCTCACACCTGTCAACGCCTGCTTGTTGAAATGAGTGTTTCCTTATCTTATTTTTGTCTTTCATCCTGTTATTCTTACATCTGGTTTGACTGTATGTATTTTGCACAAGCAGATGTTTATTATGGACTACAAATTTCCTCTCAGTGATGTCACACTTTAAATATTTTTTTTGTCTTCAGGCCAGTTCTGCAGGTCACCAAAGTCAGCCATCTGTTCATGGCCTTCCGTCATCGAACACATCAGTGCACATACCACAGCAGTACCTTCCACCTGGACACAGCTACTCTGCTGCACTTTACGCGGGTCAGCCCAGCACTGCAACACCGGCTCCTGCCAGTTTAAGCTCAATAAACACTCCGCAACAGCCCCCAGTTGCATTGAGTATTGCCACAACTGTGCCACCTGTTGCACAGAGCTACCAAGCAGTAGGACAGCAGCAGCAGCCTATCACAGCAAGCACTTTGACGTTTAACATGCTAGACCAGCAGATTTCCAATATCTCTGCAGGCTCCACTCAACAACAGGCTCAGTCTGCAGTTCATCAGCCAGCACATAGTTGCCCTCCTGCCGCAGTAGCAACAGCTTCATGTCAGTTTGCACATGCTCCCAGCACATCCCAGCAGGCCCAAGTCCCAGTCAAACTGCACAGTCAGCAGCCTGCTCAGAGCTCCTCCACACCAGCATTTCACAATCAACAAATATCTATTCCGCAAGAACAACCCTTACCACAAAATACTCAATCAAGTGTTCAGCAGACCCTAAACCAGAATAACCATGACTCTAATACCACACTTCAGCAAATGGCACAGCATCCCACCCTTTCATCTCACAGTCTTCAGTGTCCCACACAGCAACAAGTAGGTGGGCCAGCTCTTCAGCAGCACGGACAAAAAGTCACCACGACGACACTTTCAGAGCAGAGTCTATCCCAGTCTCAGCTGCATCCCACGAGAACCCCATTTGCGCAGGTGGCTGCAGAACATCAAAGCTACTTTGTTCCAGGGCTTCCTGGTGCAGCCCATCAAAGCTATGCACAGTCTGCAGTCCAACAGACCGCACCGGGTCAGGACCAGTACCAGTCAGCCCAGTGCATCACTACTCCACACAGTTATCGAGGAGCTAACAGAGCCGTATCTCCTCATCACTTTCCAACCTCTTCCCAACAAAACCACACTGTGCAAAACAACCAGCAGGTGAGTTTCCAGCGTTATGATCTCAGTACATGTTATGAAGAAGTGGTACAGTTAATGATCCAGTTTGTTTTTTTTTCCTTACTGGTATTTTATCTGTCATTTGTTAATTCTGTTTTTGCATCGTTGCTTAAATCAGATGAAACGTCTTTGTTTTAACACTGTCAATATGAAACTGTGTGTGCGGTGGGTGGAAAGTTACCAGTTTAACATGTTAACATTGTGTTGGGTGTTTGATGACATAAAACCTAACTAGTAGCAGCTGTTTTAGAGGAAAATTATAAATATAAACAAAATCAAAGTGATTTTTCCTCCCCAAACTCAAAACAGGAGGACAATGAAGAAATGGGTAACAGAAGCAATAAAGTTTGAGGTGCTGTATCCACCCAGCCTCTGAGGCATTTATGATCAGTTGTTGTTTTGTACAAAGATCTCTAGTTGGAGCAGCTGATAAAGACTGATTTTATTCAAAAGAACAGGAAGGAACATACAGGCCGTTCTGATCAGGGTCAGTTGAAGGAAATCAGCTCAAATGAAGGATAAAGACAAACTTTGTCACTAAGGTTTCTCCCTTCTTTGTGCTTTGTTCTGAAGAATATTTCTACTAGTCAGAGCATTTTGCAAATTGTACAAGATGGACAAAATCAAGGACAGAATGTCAGCCAGTCAGCTTCCAGTGCAGCAAACCAGGCACTTCCTCCTCAGCAGCCAGTTGCTCAGAGTACAGCCCACCAACAGTTCCAACCTCTGCAGATCTCAGCATCACTCCCTGCATCCCAACCATCCCAGGTAATCCTAGTTTGTTGTCACATCTGTATTTTTTATTTTTTCTTCCGGCTTGCGTTTTATTTGTAGACCAATAACAATAAATTTATGTTGCGTGGTACATAATTTGCCTTTATTTGAATTTTTTTAGCTCCTATAATTTCCTTTTTCTTTCCCTCTTTCCTTCAGTTTTCCTCACAATATCCTACAGTCCAGGTGATGACAGCTGTAACTGACTGTGACTCCTCATACCCCCCCTCTTGCGCTGCTCTTCATCCTTCTGCTCCTTCATCCCTTTCACATGTCTTTCTTTCTCCTGGGTATACTGTCTCTGTGACCCCCTCGGTCTCTCCCATTTCTTCTCTGCACATTGAAAACACATTAGTCTCACCCGTTCATATGTCCCTCATACCATCCCCGTCATCTGCGCTGGGTTTGATGGAGCCCACATCACCACAACACCAACCCATTGTTGCTAGATCTGAAGATTCTCATACGCAGTCTTCATTTATATTGGTCCCAACCACCTACCCCATACACACACACATTGTTCAGAGCCAGAACACACACTCTCCTGCAAAATGCAGCTCTCAGCCACTGATACAGGTAATTACAATGGCTACAGTGAGGCAAATATAGTGTGTGTGCTGTAAAGGTGTGGACTGGTTTATTGATGACTGTGTTTAGGTGACTTGTTGGCTATAACTATCAAATAACAATCACATATTTGGAATTTGGATCTTGTTTGAAAAGTGCATGTTTTGAACAAAATGAATGTTCGATATGGCAGTCAGATTAATCTATACAAATAGAAAAGATCTGGTCTCAAACTTAAACTTCATGCAGTTATAAAAAATGCATAACAGGAAGAAACTCTTGAGAAAGATTTATTTAATTACACGATAAAGTGGTGATGTTTTTGTCTCTTTTTTCTAATAGGTTCCTCAAACTTCTCAGGTCAGTCATCCTGAGCCGGTCGTCCCTGCTCATAAAGTCCAGTCTACTCAGCTCACCCAGCCTGCAGTCCTTTCCTCACCTGTGCAAAACGAGGCAGACCTGCACACCACCTCTGCTGTTACTCAGCTGGACAACACAAACTCCTGCCAGCTGCCCCCACAGAGCCAAACCCAGAGTCAGGTACAAAGCCAAATTCCTGTGCTGCAGTCCTCTGACTCACAGAGAGCATCAGCCAAGTCCTCTTCTTCCACTTCCAACATGGAGGTACTGACACAAGATTTACTGGAATTATTTTTTGCTTTCTACATGTTTTAAACCCGGTTCATTATGCTCCACAAATATAAAAACCTACTGATTTGTAGCATTACCCTTATGAAAATCAAGATCCAATCTGAAATGGAAAGCAGTTAATGCAATACAATGCTTCTATAATTATCATTTTATTTTGTCATTGCATTTAAAGGACCAGGCTGCTGAAAAACCTATTGGAGGACAGAGCTATGACAGGTACTTCCTTAATACTCCTCAGTTTGGTTGCTTTTTCACAATATATGGCAGATATGTAATCCCCACAAAATCTATTGCTCTTTAAGCTTCAAGCATGTGCAGCTCAGTGTGACTCGTGACTAATGTCGCTTTTGTCAAATCCTGCAAGACTTTCCGGGTAGAGATAAACCTTGCAAAACTTTTTTGACTGAGCGTTTGTCACTGAGGGGAGTTAAAGACCTTTAGCCTGTTTTTATTCCCTGTTCAAGATTTGCTGTACCCAGAAAAATGTGCAATAATAGATCCTCCATTGTTGAAAGTTTCCAAACTAATCTTTGTTTATTAGACAACTGATCTGGTTTTATCTCACTTTGCCATTTTCCAATGTTTAGGTATTTTGGGCATTTATTTTTTGACATGTTCAAACACGTTTGTATTTATTTATTTATTAACCTTTATTTAACCAGGAAAAGCCCACTGAGATCACAGATCTCTTTTGTAAGGGAGACCTGGGCCTGAAGGCAGACTAACATGCATGTTTTTGTGGGTTGTTGGTGTCTTGTAGGTATTGTGTGCCGCTGTAGGTGCATTTTAATCTTGGCAACAAAAACACCTTAGGTGTTTAGGTATTTAGTAAATACCACTGTATTGATTTTGATGCCTGTTTTTCACCAAAATCAGTGTCAACTCTGATGCAACATCAGGAAGGGAGATGAGCGATGGTTACGAAGGGACGCACGGAAGCAAAGGGGACGGGAAAGTTCGCAAACACCGCAAGACTGCTCGCACCCGTTCTCGACAGGAAAAGATCAACAGACCAAAGCTCAATATGCTCACTGTGAGTGACCTGAATATTTCCTAAGCGCACTCGTGTAGTCTGTTTTAAAGCATGGCAGATAATGTATGAATTGTTTGCTTTCACCACAGGTGTGTAACACGGGCGATAAGATGGTAGAGTGCCAACTTGAGACTCATAACCATAAAATGGTAACGTTTAAATTTGACCTGGATGGAGATGCACCAGAGGAAATTGCTACTTACATGGTATGTAAGAATCTGTGTGCTGCCACTTCATTTGTTGCAAAACAGTTTTTGAAGTCTGCTAGAAGCTGTCGTAGCGTTCAGAACAGAACGTCCCGGTTGGTTTCAGCTGCAATGCAGCAAAAACTCTTGGCTGTCTCTTGCTCTTTCTCTCTTGTGCCAAAGCTCAACTTACTCGTTCACTCTGGGCACATTTAGTGACGGATGAATATTTAATACAGTAACTGCTCAACTAAGTATTTGTGGACTATTGCAAAAACTTGAGGTTTTCTAAATTGCCATTTTTGGAAATAAAATGTGTTTAAACCTAAATGAATATCCTAACTGAAGTTCCAAAAGTAGACTATCCTTGTATAGCCAGCAGACTTTATTAAAACGAAGTACCTGATAGTTGAATCAAATTTCAGCCTTTTAAGTATAATTGCAACATGTTTTTTTTTATCCTTCAGGTGGAAAATGATTTCATTCTGCCCCTTGAAAAAGAGGTATTCATTGAACAACTGAAGGATATAGTTGACAAGGCTGAAGACATGCTGAGTGAGGACACAGCGGGGGAGAGGACCTCTGACCTAGGGTGCACCCTTAAACATACAGAAAGAGCTGGTGCAGTGGGAGCAGAGGTGAGAAGAAACTGTTGACATGTAATGACTGCAATGGAGTCATCTGTCCACGAGTGCTTCATCTTGGCTACACTCCATCCTGACAGCACTCTCATTGATTTAGCATGAAACGCTGCCAAAACTTTCTAGTCTTGCTGATGTGGCATTTTGATTTAACTAAATTTATTTATTTCAGCTTAGTGGTTGCTTAGAGGAAAGCTTTTAAAATGTCTATCAGATAGATTGATCCACATGCAATCACTTTGAGTGTAAAAATGTATTTCTTTATTTTTTTGGTAAGGCTTCAGAACCCAGTGCCCCACAACTAGTCTATCAACAAAACGGTAAGATATTTCAGAGTGTCCTCCAATTAAAATCAAACACAAGTACCTTTCTGTGTCTATATGCTTGAACGTTTGAAGTGGTGCAGAATAAACTTCAGTTCTGACTTCCAGTCCGTTTTGAAGAATTTGAATTTTTCTTGCTCTGTCTCTTGACAGTCCTCCACACTGGTAAACGCTGGTTTATCATCTGCCCTGTGGCTGAAACGCCTGTTCAAGACGAGAGAGAATCTCCAGCGGACACGGCCCAGGGTACGACACACACTTCATGATTGTATTTCTTTTCTCACAACTTCAGATTTACCACTTATTAAATCAAAATGTAATATGATCTGTGATAAAAGAGTACATTTTCTGTGAGCCAAACAGGATTGCTTGTACTCGGTTGCTGTTGAAAAACACTGCTCAGGCATTTGAATGTGCAGTGTGTGAGTCTTTGATTTGGGTCAGTTATATAAGAGTGTGTCTGCAGTTTTTCTGAGGCAGAAAAGAAGAGCAGAGTTTTGCCCCAGTTGACTGGGACTGATGGAAGATGAGCAGTGATGTAACTTCTAGGCAGCTATGACACCTAGCTTATTTCCTTTATGGCTTTAACCATTAAACCTACTAACTGTTCTTTATCTGATTAACTCCAATGTCTTGATTTCTTCAGAATATGAAAAGGCTGGCTCATTGTCAGCTGGGTCCAACAGCAGTACAGCTGCACTGCCCACCCCAGGCGCATCTTTATCTTCCCAAAGCCCATCATCCTCCTCAGTAGAACCTCCAGACCAAATTCCTGGCAAATCCGAGGTTCAGCAGACCCAGCCCTGTGTAACTAAACATACTCTTCCTGCTGGAAGCAGCGGCAATGACCACACTCTTCCTGTTGAAGACCCTTGCATTTCTGCTGTGTCTATGGTCACAGACATACCATGCTGCTCTATTGTGCCACCTGCCTCTCTGGATGATGACACCACTGACAAAGGAGCCAGGGCTGGCGTTTCCGTCTCCTCACAAACTAGTCAACCAAATAAGTCTAGCCCTACTGATGAACTACCTCCTCAGCTGCCCTGCAAACAATCCGTGGTCCTGCAGCAGCCATATGCCACACCCATGCAGCCTGGAACCGTGACCTCCCAGCCTCAAAGTCCCGCTCATCAAAACCCGCAGTCATCAAACCAGCAGCAGTGTGGGGGACAAGGAGAGTCTGACAGCGAGGGTCCTCGTAAGATGGAGTTTGTCGATCGTACCATCAAGACTTTGGATGAGAAGCTCAGAAATCTGTTATACCAAGAGCACCCTCCCTCCCAGCCTTCAAACGCCTCATCGGAGCACCAGGCCTCCAGCACAGATAGACTGAGCTCCCCTCCAGTCTCAGATGGCCACAGTGCTGAAGGCTCGCTCTCAAGGAAAAAGATAGAACCATTGGTAAACTGCAGTATTTTGTCTGATTAGGAGCTGTATTACAAAGAGTATACTTGAATAGTTAGTAAGCACTGTGCTATTGATTTGGTCATTTACTGGAATAAACAAAAGTTCTGTGCTAAGTTTAGAGTCAGGGAAAGATAACAGAATTACATCACCGTGTCGATTCATCAAGTATGAAAGTATGAATGCAACCAAATCATCTCAGGTTGTGAGTCATTCAGGGATGGGTAATTACTAGTTTTACCACGCTGATTTAGCGTTTGCAAAGTTGTATCACTCGTCACTGTGCAAATGAATGCGCCCTCCTACACATGCACACTAACCCTTCTCTCTTATTCTGTTAGCCACAGATTCCTGAGCGCACAGATTGTGTGGTAGCTTTAGGTGACCCAGCAGTGGCAGGTTAGTAGCTTCTTATTTTTTTTTTTTTTTTAATAGTTTTAGCCATATTGCCACACAATATTTTGAAAGTGCTTTTACGCTGAAATATTTTGTTTTCATTCTTTTAGACTCCAGCAAGACCAAACAGATCAGAGCAGATGCATCTGCCAGCTCTAGTTCTCACGCCTCTAAAAGCCGTTTTGAGGTAAAAAGCCACTGAAAAATGCTCAGTATAAATGTCATTTGAGCAAATAAATTGTAAAACCAGATGTGCCACTGTAACTGCTTATAGTGCATTGTTTTAATTTTAAAATTAACTTTTATAATATGTTTCCTGTCCTTCTAGGTCATCCCCATTCCACCAGATGTCATTTTTTGTTCGGGGAAAAGTAAGACCAGCCACAGTACATGCAATTCCACAGCACCCTCTAGTGGTTCTGGAGGGTCCAACAGTCAGGTCCTGAGCGTTCATGGCAAAGAGAACAGCTGTGTGGCTGCATGCAGGTCCTCTGGAGCAACTGAAGCTGATGGTGAAGCTGCAGGAACATCTAAACCTCACAGTGCTGGCCGCTATTCTGCCCCACCAAACTTCTATCAAGCAACCCCCGGTTCCAGTCCTGAACACGCCTCATGTCATATCCCTCGAGCCCAAACTATTGACACTTCGACCCGTCGTCACAATCACCACTCGCCTCACCTCTGCTCTGACGAGGCTGACGAGGACAGCAGCAGCATGGCTCTTCCTCCGACTCGGGCTCCTAAGGCTCAAACTGTGTCTGAGCACAGTGGAAGTGACCTCGTCAAAAGAGCAGTCGCCTTCCTGCGGCGCTCTGGTCGAAGCAAAAGTGAGCAGAGCTCTGATTCTCCGAGCCGCCAGCTAGTGGCAGTGAATGGTCACACCCCTTCACCTTCTGCCGGACATATCCACTCATCTTACATCAGCAGTGACAACGACTCTGAATTTGAAGACGCAGATATGAAGAAAGAACTGCAGAAGCTCAGAGAAAAGTAAATTATCTTACTCCTTGCCTGCACTCACCCACACGAGGACAAGTGTGGTTTAGTTAACTCGTTTAGAAGCCCATTGATGTTTGTTTTTATTGCCATTATCTTAAATATCAGACGTTTATCTCCAAACAAAAATGCTTATTTTGTGGTTATAACCATATAATCTTAAAATTGTATTTTCTTAAGTGCATTTTATTATCAGGAAAAAAAAGATCCTGTTTGTGGTTTTGACATCAGGAATCCCATGCAAGTACATGACCAATATTGTAAACTGTAGTAAGTTTAAAAAATAATATTAGGTTAGGTTACTTTATTGGTTTGCAGTGGTGCAAATGATACATCCGTGCACACGCTCACTGTAAAAAGTAAGAACGCCTCAAATAAACCATTCACAGATAATAGTGCTCCACAGGTCATATTCAAAATAAAGTAGGACACGGAAGAGGAGAGTAAAAACTTTAAAATTTAACTAGTATAAACAATATATTAAAATGTTAATTTCATCACTAGATTAAAAATGTTATTGTACATATTTCATGTGTATGCAATCAGTCTTCCAGTAAGTTTGAAAGTTGAACTCTGGAGTTTATTGAACCAGAGACCTTTACTGCTTTTCTTTCAGTTTTTTTTTTTATTATTATTATTTTCAAGCTATTGACCCCCAAAAGTAAAGCAGAAAATTAAATTCACCTGAGGTAAGATAATAAAATATATTTTGAAATGTCAAAATAATTTAAGCACACTGGGGAAAAAGACTTAAAAATATATCTTAAGGATATTACAAAGCTAATATTTTCTGTTTTGGCTGTTGTTTATTATATAGTGCATTTATAATTACTGTTTCATGAAAAGTGTTGTGATTTAAACCTTTCAGTGGTCAACACAGTAACGGTTGAATTTTATTAAAAAGGCTACAATCAACAGCAATATTCCAGAGATTAGCTGAAATCAAGTTACTTTAGATTTTGAATCATCAAAATGTAGTGACTATAACCTTTTCTGTACAAGCCGCCTTCATAATTATCACCCACCACCATAAGCGGCAGGTGATCTGTGTGTGTCCGTCTGTAAGCAAAATATCCCACGAACCACTGGATGGTTGTGAATGGAAGTCCAAAGTATTGCGTCACTTGATGTAGATCTACAACTAATTAATTTTAGGAGTCAACAAAATTTAAGATGGCTGCCACTGCTAATTGACCTTAGCTAACACAAAAATGGTTATAACTCAGGTAATTAGACATATATTCATCTAAGATTTGGTGTGGTAGTAGCTGAGAGTCTTCTAACTAATTGCACAATATATTTGTTTAAAACTTTGTCATGCTGCAGGCGATTTTCACCTCTTCAAGGATCGCTCCTAATTCAAGCTTCTCCTTCAAAGTAGCTCCGTTATTTTCTGAATTAATGAGTCCGTTCCTGCTAGAAGTTTTGACATGAACACTGCTCAATGTTTGTTGCTTCAAATTAACTTGGTGGTCTTTGTGTTCCCGCCCTGTATTAATGCGTTTATTCTAGACACATGAAAGAGATCTCTGAGCTTCAGGCTTTCCAGAGGAGTGAGATTGAACATCTGTACAAGGAGCTGGGGAAAACGTTGCCGGCCAACGTTGGCCTGCTTCATGCCGCTCCCCCGACGGGTCGAAGGCGCAGAACCAGCAAACACAAGCTGAAAGCTGGAAAACTGCTCAACCCAATGGTGCAGCAGCTCAGAAATAACCTGAACAGTGCTGGTGGTGAAAAGAAAGGTGTGTAGGTTGGCACAGTGGGATTCTAAGAGATTTATGAGCATTTGTAGTCCGCATCAGTTTTTTTTTTAAAATCAGAAAACACTTAAATAAGAGAGTTCAGAAAACTACGTGTCTGAATCAGCGATGCATGACTCATGTTTTATTTACTTCTTTTTAAACAAGGTGAGAGTGCTGCCAGTTCGTCCAGCTCTCCTGCTAAAAGTTCACTTCTCTCAGATGGCTCTGCCCGCTCCAGTGGCAGCTCCACCTCCAGCCATCAGTCTGGAACAGTCCAGGAGCAGGTTCATACCCAGCAGCCCTGCTCTCTGAAAACCTCGTTCTCTTCAGACAGCATCTGCACGGGAAGGCATGGGGATGGACAGGCCAACCAAGCTGGCCCTGGTCAAGGTACTCTTTATAAATTCACCTTCATTCTAGTGAGTGCGCAGAGAAAAGCACACACAATCTACAAAACCACTATTAGACCTACAGAAGGAGCAGAGAAATGTTTCTACTTTTTGGACAAAGGGAATAGGATGAACAACCTATTATCTGTTTAAAGTACTCTGATTTATTCAACCTTTTTAACTACAAAAGAAAACAAAGGTAAACATGTAGGCTTATAAATGAATTAATTAGAAGGGAAACCTGGGAAATTATTAATCTCCTGACGTTTCAGGCAGTAGAGGTCCTACAAAGTGTCAACACACACAGCTATGATGTAGTAATTCAATTCATTTGTGACCCACATGCTCGTGCAGCCAGAGTTAGACTTTAAAGGAGACTTCTTAAAACCATCACTAAAGAGGTTGGACTCCTCCAATCCACAGTTTAATTTGATCGACCAGGAAAAAAAAATTATTTTATTGACTGAGATCTGGGTTCAGTGTGACGCATCTATGGCAATAATGGGGGGAGAACTACAGTTTATTTGATTCCTTTCTGCAGGCACGATTTCAGGTAAATGGATCTGTAACTGCTGATCCGTTCACCACATCCAGTTGAAGTAATTTAAGTTCATTCCAATGTACCGTATTTTTCGGTCTATAAGACGCACCGGATTATAAGGAGCATTAAGCGAAACAAAATCACCACAGGAACGCTTCCTATGTTCGTTTTGAGTGCCATGCACCATATAAAATCGGTTCAAAGTCACTAAGCACAACCAGAATTAATACGTAAGGCGCACTGGATTATAAGGCTCGCTGTTGATTTTTGAGAAAATTAAAGTATTTTAAGTGTGCCTTATAGTCCGAAAAATACAGTACAGAAAAGACGGGATGGCTTGATTTCCTCGTGTACATTAGACTTGTCCTTTATCTGCTTGACCAGTTTTTGTGGATTGTATATTGCACATAGATCCTGATCATTTTCATTATTTTCTACTAATAATACTAACTTCACAAATGAAAGCCATCTTGATTTATGTTTTGTAAAATTATCCCAAGCCATTCTATTAACTTCATGTTTTATAAATGGGCTAGTTTTTATTCAAGATGTAGTGTTTTCACGGGTTTATTTTGGTTTCTCCTCTTTGTTAAACATTAGCTTAAAGTCATGTCTGTGTATAATTTTTAGCTTATGCAAGGCATTCAGTTTTGCAAAGTAAACATACTTGCTTTTTTATTATTTTGCCATGTACGTTATTCTTTTTCTGGTAACATGAAGATCAGCTAATACAAAGTTTTACAGTTTTCACCTCACACACTGTTAAAACGTCGGTCTGGAGGTGGCGGTATTTGTTGATCCAACACTCTTGAGGCAGGCTGGTCATGTTTGTACACTGGTTATTTGACTGTGGATTGGTGTAGTTCAATCTAATGTCGATTTCTTTCATTACGTTTCCAACCTGATAAACATCAATAATGCTTTGTCCTCTCTCCTTCTCTTTTTTTTTTTTTGTTCATGCAATGATGCACTTCCACAAAGTAATGTGAGGCTGAGACTTTGGTAGATTCCTGTTCTGATCACCTGCTTGCATTGATTGTCATCCCAGATTCAGAACAGCTAAATCTCATGTCACTGTCGAGCCTTATTGTTCCTAGCACCATTAATTAGATGATTAAATGTCCATATTCAGACCTTTTCATTGACAGCCTCATAAATGTTGTTTTGGCATCTGTAGTGGGTTTAGTTTCTTCCAAATATCCCACTCGGTGTCTTAATTTTTTATTTTAAATTTATTTTTTTAATGGTGCTTTTGTTGGTGGGGGTTTCTCATCTCATTCTCTGTGCACTTTTTTTCAAATTCTCTCTTGTTTCTTCTCTTCTTCCCTCCTATATTCATTCTTACAGGCTGGACGGTTTACCACCAAACGTCAGAGAGAGTCACCTATAAATCTAGTAGCAAACCACGCACTAGATTCCTCAGTGGACCTGTGTCTCTGTCCATCTGTTTGTATTTGTTCTTTTCTATTTCCCTTTGCTCATTTCCATTCACTTTGTTTAACCTTTCTCTATCTGCATCCTTTTTTTAAATTTTTTATTAAGTTCTTTATTGGATATTATTTTTCACCCTCCTTACAGGCCTCCCCTGATGTACATGACCCTTTTTAATTTATTTTTTTTAAATCACACTTTAATTCAGGACCCTCAAATGTGTTCTGTGTACATTTTCCCCCTGAGAGCCAGAGGTATTGTCTCAAGCATACATCATTTTAGTAAGCCAACTTACTGTAAATCTGTAAAAAAATATATATTTTGAATCCAGTTTAATACTGTACATGCACACTCCAAGAACAAAATGGGTAGACACAAATTTAATTTTTTCCAGTCAGTCAGTAGCTTGTTTCACTTCATGGCTTTATCTGTTACCTGAATCAGACTGTGTAACGTTGGTTGCAGTGTTTGTAGCCACTTGTTTTGGTGACACTGATAAAGCTTGAAGACTGACTGTGCACTGTTTTTTGTTAGTACCTCAGTCCCATTTCACTTTAATTCTGCATCCTGTAATACATTTAGAAATGACTTTTGAAAACTAAGAATATCTAATTAAATTAAATATATATATA